GCGTCTGCGACCCCTGAGCCAGGGGCGGAACCGACCAACTAAGGTAAACTCCCAACCCTCTCGAATTTCGCGCGTCCCAGCATTTAACCTGGTATTGGTAAAAGCACCAACTTGTACCGCGCATACGGATCATTGTAAGGCATTTGAACACAATTTTTTTTATGCACCCCTGCAAAAAAGTGACTTTAGCAACTTTGTTTTCTTAGTGTAAATTTGTGACTAAACGAAACTGCTTCGTAACTCAAATGAAATTATACTGCGTAAGGAGAGGGGGGGAGGGAGGGACAAATTCTTGACAGACGAAATAGAGATTCGCCGGATTACAGGAAGAAAAGTGTTCGAGGAGCAGCGAGGGAGCGAGAAAGGTGGGTGGGTGGGGTGAGGTGGTTCCCCGTTGGGCAGGGAGGGCCAGGCAGATGGAAAGATAAGGGCGGGATGACTGACACCGCCGGTGTCGTGGCGGGGAGGAAGGGGAGGAGGAGAAGGCGACGGGGTTGCGGAACCAAAGGGGTTGTGGAGCAAAAGCAGAGCCAGGCCAGATTCCCCCCCCCCCCCCCATCTCTCCGCCCCAGCCACGCCCGGGGTGTCGCGGGACTACACGGGAATAAGTCACGCCGTCTCGCTCCACCCGAACCAATGCGCACGCCGCCTGCCTGTATTTAATTAGGGTGGGCATTCCAGCCCCCAGGCAGCCTCTCTCTGGCTGCTCCGCTCGTCTCGTTCCCTCGGGGGCTCGGGGCTCGGCTGCGCTGCGTCCCGCGCCACCCGCGCCCGCGACGCGGTGCGCTTTGACGAGGCGGGAAAGGAGGGCGTTCTTTTTGCCCCGCGTCGCGTCGTGTCGTGTCAGCCTCCCCGGTCGTGTCGCGCCGCCGCCGGGGGTAATCGACCAAAAATGTTGTACACCTCCCGAAAGTAAATATAGAAAAGAAATAAGAAGCAGAAGCGAGGGCAAAGCAGGGAAAAAGAAAGTGGCGCGATAAAATTACTGAGCTTTTGACATCTTGTGGTACACACAACAGACTAAGCATGTGGGCCAGAGCCCTGAAATGATTTACAAATTAAGAAAAGTGTCTGCAGCATTTGATTATAAAATCCAATCTTTCTAATGAGTGGCTCAAATACATGAGTTTCCGTAGGCGTAGCAAGTAAAATTTTGTGGTCAGACACGTGGGAGTCAGTGTATTTAATGATAAGAGTCCAATGGAAGAAATAAGTAGTTGAGGTTTAACAGAAAAGCATTATCGTAATATGATTATATTTGGCTTTT